TTCCATAAACATTTTTATATGCATGGTCATCTGGTATTTCCGTCTCCTCTGACACATCTTCATAGTCATACATTTTCTGTGCTTGCGTAAACTTGAAGCCTAAAGAAGAATGACAAATAATTAGATGCCAGATGTGACAGGATACTGGCTCATTCACTATACTCCTATGCTACAGGTAAGGTCTATTCCACATTCCTTTTCACCACTTTTAGAGTGGATATCCTATTTAACTGAAACGATTTTTGCCCCAGTTTTCCTAAATAATCTTCACTACCACATACCTCCATCTACAAAAGCCTCTGCAGAACCTGAGTTTGAGATCTGATTACTAATTACTAGCTATGTAATTAGGGGAAAGTTACTGTTGTATCAGTTCCCTTACCTCTAAAATGGAGATAACAATAGCATCTACCTCACTGTTTGAGAATTAAATGTGATGGTGCATGTAAAGAGCTAAAGTTTCCAGATCTGCTCAGAATTTGACCTCCTCTGCATGAAGAAGTGGTACCCATTTTCTTCTCCAACGCCAATATCTTCAATGTATTACCTTCCACTGGCTTCTATGATAATGCAAATTTCCACTATTTAAAACAATTTTCACTTGCTCTTAAGCTCCTTCTGACTATCATCCTGTATCCTTCTTTTTACAGTACCAACTAACCCATTTGTCTTAGTTATCTAGTGCTGCTATAATAGAAATACCACAAGTGGATGACTTTAACAAAGAGAAATTTATTTTCTCACATTCTAGAGGCTAGAAATCCAAATTCAGGGTGTCAGCTCCAGGGGAAGGCTTTCTCTGTGGGCTCTGGAGGAAGCACATTTTCATCAGTCTTCCCCTGGACTAGGAGCTTCTCCTTGCAGGAACCTTGGGTCCAGTCCAAAGGATGGACACACTCTGCTCCTGGCACTGCTTTCTTGGTGGTATGAGGTCCCCAACTCTGCTTGCTCCCCTTTCCTTTAATCTCTTGTAAGATAAAAGGTGGTGCAGGCCACACCCCAGGGAAACTCCCTTTACATTGGATCAGGGATGTGACCTGAGCAAGGATGTTATATCCCACCCTAATCCTCTTTAACCACAGGCAGAGATTATGATTTACAACACATAGGAAAATCACAAAATAGAGGACAACCATACAATACTGGGAATCGGCCTAACCAAGCTGACACATATTTTGGGGGGACACAATTCAATCCATGACACCATTGCTGTCGATTCTATTCCAACTCATAGAGACCCTATAGGGTTTCCAAGGCTGTAAATCTTTACAGAAGCAGACAGCCACATCTTTCCCACAGAGCAGCTGGTGAGTTCAAACTGCCAACCTTTTGCTTAGCAGCCAGGCACTTAACCACTGCACCACTAGGGCTCCCTTTTCACAGTAATCTCTTTCAAATCAATAATTCATGTTCTCTGCTTCTATTTTTGTGCCTATCACTCCTTTATATTCTTTTATCTGCACCGAGAACCTACTATATGCTGTACACTGGGAATTCAGTAGTGAACAAAACCCATAACTCCCTGCCCTCTAGTGAAGGTAACTACCTGGAACTGTCCTCTAGAAGGCAATCAACTCCATTCATTCCCTTGAAATGGAAACTGCTTGGTGTGTTTGAGCAACAGGCAAGTAGCCACCGATGCTGGATTGTTGTGAGGCTGAGAGTGGGACATGATAAGGTGGAAAGATAGGCCAGAGCCAGATCCAGAAGGCCATGATAGTTAGGATTTTACTCCAAGTGCAGTGGAAAACCAGGAGAGGCAGCAGAGTGTAGTCATGGTTAAGAGCATGGATTATAGTGCTAGCTTCCTGACAGTACTGACTGTGGATCCTTGAGCAAGTAACTTAGCCTCTCCCTGTTTATTCATCTGTAAAATGCAAATAATGAAACCTGTCTCATTAGGCTGAAGAGCAAATGAGTTGATTTTATAATGCACTTTAGGACAGCACTTCCCCATAGAAATTGCTAAAGAAGAGCTTGTTAAGTAAATTGAAGTGTTTTAAACAGGGGAGTGGCTGAGCTGATTTTTTTTTTTTTATTGTTCTTTAAGTGAAAGTTTACAATTCAAGTTAGTTTCTCATACAAAAATTCATACACACATTGTTATGAGACCCTAGTTGCTCTCCCTGTACTGTAACAGCACACTCCTCCTTTCCACCCCAGACTTCCCGTGTCCGTTCTGATTTGAATTTTTTAAAGATCGTTACCTGTTGGATTAGAATGGACTAGAGGGGTGTTAGCTTGGAGGCTCTTGCAGAACCTGTGGAGGGGTGATGGCAGCTTGGACTGTGGTAGTGGCAATGTGCTGGGAATAGGTTAATGCTAATGGTAGCTAATATTTATTATGTATTATGTGCAGGGGCCCGGGTGGCACAGTGGTTAAGCGTTTGGCTGCTAACCAAAAGGCTGGCAGCTCAACTCCACCAGCTGCTACTTGGAAACCCTATGAGGCAGTTCTACTCTGTCCTATAGAGTTGCTATGAGTTGGAATTGACTAGACGGCAACGAGTTTTTTGGTTTTATTATGTGCCAGGCATTATTCTAAGCTCTTTACATGTATTACCTCTTATTACCTCACAACAACCTATGGATTGAATTGTGTCCTCCCAACGTATGTGATGGAATCCTAACCCCTACACTGTGGATTTAATCTGTTTGGTACTAGGGTTTTTCTTTGTTATGTTGAGGCCATATCAGTGTAGGGCATGTCTTAAACCTAATCACGTTTGAGATGTAAAAAGAGCACATTAGGCACAGAAACAAGCAAGCACAAATGAGGGAAAGATAGATGCCCCGTGAACATCACCTAGTAACCAAGGAACACCGCGGCTCAAGAAGCTAAGGATTTGCCTCCAGAGCGGACAGAGAGCCTTCCCCTAGAGCCAGTGCCCTGATTCAGACTTCTAGCCTCCAAAACTGTGAGAAAATATATTTCTGTTTGTTAAAGCCACCCACTTGTGGTATTTCTGTTATAGCAGCACTAGGAAACTAAGATTGTAGGTTATCGTTGTTATTTCTATTTTACAGATGAGGAAACCGAGATAGTAACTTGCCCAAGATCACACAGCCAGTAAGGAGTAGAGCCAAAAATCAAACCCAGGAGTGTGAATCGAGACCACAATTGTAACCTCTCTGTTAACATGACAGAACTCATACACTCAGATTATACAATAACCATATTTAGCCTTTGGGTATGTTGAAATGATTGATATTTCTGGGATATGATGATATTCTTCAACGTACTATCACTTTGAACTTTTCAGTATTGCTGACCACTGGCAAGGGACACTAATGGCATAGAACATTGAAAAAAAAAAAAAGTTTCCAATATTTTGAGGCATTTACTTTGCCAAGTGAAGTTTACACATTTAAAATTATTACTGAAGTCATGAGATATATAACTTTTTAAAAAGGATTCATTTTTAAAAATTTCATCTAACCCTAAATAAAACAGAAAATTTTCTTCTATTCCCAAATAACAATCTCACATATAAAGGCAAAAATGACTTGGCAAATTCATCTATACTTATATATCTCTGCAGGGTGCTTAAATGTTAGATGCTTAGACATGTGTACATCTGCAGACTACCATTTTTTCCCCATTTTTTTATTGTGGTAAAAATATATATTGCAAAACATTTGCCAATTCAACAATTTTTACATGTATAATTCAATGACAATGATTATACTCATGTTATGCAATCATTACCACTATCATTGTCCAAATTATTCTACCACCATTAATGTATCATTTTTGTTCACAAGAATTTCACATAAGTATTGCTAAAAATCACCTACCTTTGAAGTTAGCTGAAGAGTTGCTTGTTGCAATTTCCTTCCAGTTGGCAATATACCTAAGCATATTATATGGGCATTCATTAAATTGATTCATTAGACAGTAAAAAGTTAATTCATTAGTACATGCTCTTAGTCTACTTCTAAAATTCCACTTGCTCTAAGGAATCTTAGATTAACGGTGACAATTTCACTCATCTAAATGGTTAATTCTCATGACTTTCCCACCTCCTAGAAGCTCACAGACACTGAAGGCAACCCCTGGTCAAGAAGTTGAAAGAGGTAAAAATGGTAGCCACCATCTATTAGTGCCCTTTTGTCTCCCTCCAGCACACCTCTCCTCCTTTTATCCTGACTCATTCCTGCAAGAGCATATCCTCAGTCAAATGTCTACTAAGATGTTAGCTAATAACTTCTAAATTGAAAGTTGGACAGAAAACTCTAGGAGAGGAAAAAAATACAGAACCTTCTCCTTGGTTCTGGACTTCGAGATCTACTGTCTCTGACATGTCAATGGAAATTTAAAGTGCACATAGTTCATGATCTTATTGGAGCAACGGTGCTGTTGCTACTGCCCCTGATTTTGCAGTATCCAGTAAACATAAAAGAATATATTCAAGTAGAGCAAATGCAGTTGCCATTAGCTCCCTGAACAGAGACTGAAATAGGGAGAAAGAGGAGGCCAGCAGGGGGAGCCAGGGTGGCCTGAGAGGAGGTAGAGGAGGAAAGGGCAAGTTATGCTGAGCTGCGAGGATGAGGGAAAGCTCCAAGGGCAGGTTTCCTGTGACCTTATTCCATTTCATCTTAGACTCCTGTCTCCCTTACCCAAGCCTCCTTCCTTTCAACTACATTCAGTCTTACCAATAAATCAGGTAAGGGGTGGTCACAGCAGATGCTGAAAGGAAGCTAGCAGAGAAAGGATGAGGCTTAGAATTGTCATGTGGTTCAGAAAACACTGTGATGTTCCATGTATTTATTTATTCCACTTGTATTCTTAGTTTTGTTAACTTTGGGCCCCTGAAGTTTTCTGCTATCGAAAGTAAATACTGTCTAATAGTATTTAACTGTAATAAAGTACTGTGTCTAAAGTCTGCTCTTTCCCATTAACTGCTACCTGTTGTTACTCCGCAGACATTATTCTATGGCCTTGAATGGGATACTGTTGGGACACTGTTAAATGAAAGAATGCAGGACAACAGCAGGTAGTGTAAACCTCTTCCAGGATCTTTTAGGAGGCAATTCAATATGGCTTGACTTTAAACTTAGGCTGACTTTGTGCTTTCAGTGGTTACTCAGGAACACTATAAAGAGTTGGATGTCAATCACCTTGTTTCCGTGGATTTATATACTGGAAGGTTTTCATTCCATCTTCAAGAAAAGAAGATAAAGGACCCTGATTAACAGTATGCTAAACCCTGACAGTCTGGGGCACAAACATATGCCTATCACTGACCCTGCTTTACCTAAGATTAGGATATGAATTTATTCAATTATTTTAAAAGAACTTCTCACCAAGAACATACTAGCAGCATAAGAAATTAAGGTTTTACAAAATAGAAGCAACAGTCTGATGATAGCATTACCATTGTACTATATCATAGAGCTGATCCATCTTTCTCACTAACTCATTTTTGGAAATTTTAAGATAACAATGGCACAATAAAGTATATGTGGAATCTACAATGAATCCCTTCAGGAATACAAATTTAACATTTTAATGGGCTGGGAGAAGTCCCTAGCCAGAGATAGCACATAACTACACATCTTAGAAATCAAAGGAGCAACTTCAGATACAGAAATTATCCATAACATACATAGGCAAGGGTGAACAGAATATCAGAGTATTATTTAAGAAATCCACATTCCAGCTGCTTATCACATAACAGGTTACATAAAAATTCACTTGCAGTTTGAAAAAATACAAAGATTTTGGAAGAGGAGTATCCATCTTGATAAAGAATATGCAGCTGAAAATCCTTTATGATGAATGCTAGCAACAGTGACATCAGCCATCATGTGGCATTGTGGGTGACCCAATGACGGAGGTGCGCGGATTGTTTTACGTTCTAAGCACCTGCAGCAGAATATCTCTGGATCTCACAGTATTTGCAACAGTACTCATCATCAGTGTCCTTAAGTGCAAGAGTGAAGTTGGTGCTATACATTCTCCAAAATTATAAAAACAATGTACTCAGTTCATATTGTTGCAGTGTGCATGTGAAGATGCAGCATGCCTTCTTCCCAGGAGAGGATCCATCTGTCATAATAAGGGACTAGCACAAAAGCCTTTTGGGAAGAAACTGGTTTGCATGACTCAGTATCAGTGTTCAAGACATTTATGCCATTCTAATTGTTAGACTATAGAAAACTGTCCACAGATTTTGAAGGATACTCCCCAAGGAACTCCTTAAAAAACCCAAACCTGTTGCCACTGAGTTGATTCTGACTCACAGCGACCCTATATGACAGAGTAAAACTGCCCCATAGGGTTTCTTTTTTTCCCTCATCTAGCAGTATTTATTTATTTTTTTAATTGTTGTAATTAAATGAGGTTTACATTTCAAGTTAGTCTCCCATATAGAAATTTTTTTTTAACATACATTGTTATGAGACCCCAACCGCTCACCCCATTCTGCGATAGCACTTTCCTCCCCTCTGCCCCTGATTCCCCAAGAACATTCAACCAGCTCCTAACTCTCTCTGCCTTCCCCTCTCACCTCTGGACAGAAGCCGCCCCTTTGGTCTCTTATATCTACTTGACTAAGAGGCACATTCTTCACAAGTATCACTTTATGTCCCACAGTCCAGTCCAATCACTGTTTGAAGAGTTGGCCTCGAAAATT